TTGGGGGAAGTTTTTCCTCTAAGTGGCAGAAACTTGCCAGGCCAAGCTGGGATTCTGGAAGGGTCACTGGGCCTTAGACTTTGCTCCCTTCTTCCCCACCGGCCAGTATAAAGTTCAACAGTGTCTCCTGGTCAGGGATTCCTTTCCCTTTCCAAATCTGAATCCCTGTCGCCACATCAGGGATGACTGTCTCCTGAGCTCAGCTAAGGACCTGGAGTATCTGGCAAGTTCCAGGCAAATTGGGGAATATGATTTGTTTTTCACTGCTGTCTTCAGGATTTGTGAAAATAATGGTAAGACATCAGTAGATAGCAGTCTCATTGGTAAATTTTTATTTTTTTCCCTGCTGGTCTCCTCCTATCTTGTCTTTAATTACAGAAGTGGTAAGTGCAGGTTGCAGAAATCACAGAAGGAAAGCAGAAGCTCCTTCCCACACCCCTTCCCCAAACCTGCTCCTTTCTCTGCTCCTGGTGGATATTTGCACTTTAGCAGAGAGCAACAACAGAACCTTTTAAGATCTAAAGAGAAGGGAAATTGGAGATGCTGAGAATTAAATAATAGTAATTATATTTAGGATACTAGTAAATAATAACAATAAACTAATATCTGCAACAAATACTCATGCCAGACATTATGATGACATTTAATATACATGAAATAAATGAATTGTTGAGAATAGGAAAGCAGAGAGGTGTTCTGAAGTATAGATCATCCTCAAGTCACCTCACTAGTGTGCATAAACTGCCCAGAGGGCCCTGGAAACTCCCCTCTTTTCTATACTTCCCCAGCCCCTTTTAGGCTGAAATGAATCTGCTTCAGCAACAAAGAGCATTTTGTATGCAGACATCCCGCTTTTTTTTTTTTAATTGAAATCTGAATGTGATGAGTCTGAACTAGGGGCTGGGGTGTGATTAATTACAGCAGCCATCTTAACCTGCTCAGAGGCTGGGCCTGAAAGAGATGAGGCGAGGTCAATCAGAAATTTGGTTAAGGATAGGGAGGAATGTAAATAAAACCTTGTTAACTGGCCCCTGTCTTTCTTTCCGCTGCTGATGCATGGAGTTGGAAGATTTAAGGAATCAGTTCCTGTTTCTCTGGTTCTGGCCGACCCTAGAATCAACTCCCTTGATTGGAAATAAACAGGATTTTCCTTTCTGTCCCCAGGAATGTGACGGAGGAAGGACTCTAGGGGAAAAGGCCTCGTCTGCCAAAGAAGAAGAATAATAACAAAGATGACAGTAGGAATAAAATATTGCCCTCTTCATCAAGGGTGATAAGGAAGTATCCAGTTATATGTGTTGAGCCTTCTCACTCTCCATATACATATGTTAGAACTTTAGAATTTAGCCCAGGTTTCATTTGAACTTTCTGTCCTGTGGTCGTCTTGAGTGTACTGAACAAATTGGGCTACATGTCTCACCTTTGGTTTCAGAAAATAGGACCCCAATTACAGCACTTCATGTTGACCTAGTACCTTAAATGTCTGAGTATGAACCTCTTTCCTGGAGGGTGTGTCTGTGAAATGTGTGCCCCCCAGTGCCTGGCATGGGGCCTAGCTTTTGGAAACTGGGGCAGAGGGACTGTGATATAAATGGGTGAGGCAGGGAGTCCTCCAGCTCCCTATCTCTTGGCTGAGGAGTGGGATGAACCCCGGATGACTGCATGAACCTTTCCTTCCCCTTGGTGCTCCTGGGGCAGGGACAGGAAGAGTTTTATGCAGGGAGAAACCCCAATAAGACTCAGCCTCTCTGTTGATTTCTGCAAACGCCTCGTGTTCCAAGGGAATCATTTGCCCACTTCTGGGCCAGCTGTATATGAGTTTGCTCTCTCCCCTCCTAAGGGGAGGTCCATGTTACCTGAAGAAACTTAACCTTTTGCTATTTCTATTAAACTTCCCTTTTTGGTTAAGAAGGTGATGAGGTAGAAAAATGTCCCTGCCCTGATCACTCTTCCAATCTTCCTTGATTCAGATATACAGATACTTTTTCTCCTTCTCCTCTCCCTCCCGCTCCTTCTCCTTGTTCCTCTGTTCTGCAGACTAACTTCCCAAAGCTGACGGTAATAAGGAGAGGTGAATCCAGTCTGTTCCTAGAGGAGCCCTCCTCCACTACGTTAAACAAATTTTCACTCTGCTGAATAACTTTCAATAGCTCCCTATTGTCATCAATTTACATTTCTAACATTAAAGCCCAACTTTAATGTGAGCTGTCTTGAACTTTGTTCTTTGTGATTTCCCAATGCTCTCTCCCCGGAGTCAACTGGCCTTCCCAATGTATTCACTTAGAGGAGATGAGTGGTTGGAGAGGCATTTGAGGCAAAACCAACAACTAAAAGGTAAGCAGAGGATGAGACAAGCAGGAAAGGAGGCAGGAGAGGTAAAGGTTGATGGGATATAAAAGGTCTTGAGGGACAATAGTATGATGATTTGGGGCTCAGGACTTTGGGCTGTATTATTAGATTGGGAGGAGGCCATTGAAAGATTTCAGGTGGGGTCAAATCCAGCTTTTAGAATGATAGTCCTGGGGCTATGTAGAAAAGGGAACTGCAGTGAGGGGGTTTGGAAAAGTGCCAGAGACCCCTGCTGACTTTGGTGTCATTGGTGGATAGGGTCTGCAGAACAGACTTTCTGTGCTCAGAAGACACAGCCATGTATGGAGGCAGGGGTATGGATGAAATGACCTTAGGCACCCTCCTCCTGGTGGGAGGGAAGAGTGGGGTTCCAGTTTCATCTCTGAGTAGGTTTCAGTTTATTTCCACATGTTGTCTCCTTTGGGTCAAAGCCCTTTTAGGAAGGCCAAGGGGAAAGGTCCCCAGGGAGGGCAGAGTATCACTTCCTCTTTTTCAGGCAGGAAAGGCAGACAAAAGTGGACAATGGACCAGAGAGGGTGCGTCCAGCAGAGAAGGAGGGAGGAGCCGGAGGAGCTGGCCCAGGGCAGGAGGGCTTGGAAGATTCCCTTTGATCCCCCTTATCTCTGGAGGGCAAGCTTGCTTATTTGGCCAGTGGGGCCTTTTGTTACAGCATTTCCTGGAGCCCCCCAAAGTAAACACAACCAAGTCTGTGTTCTTACAGCTCTACTGTGTCTGCTCCTTCCAACAGAGAGAAAGGGCAGGCGGGTCAACCCTCAGAAGTCACCCCTACTCATCAGAATGCTGACAATAAAGATGCACGTTACAGTGCATTAGCACCACGCCTGAGAGACAACTGTGATGGGCACAAAGTGCTGAACCACCATCATAATCATCATCATCAACTGAACAACTAGGGCTTTCTAAAATCTAAGGTTTAGATCTATGGAGTAATAAAACAGGAACAATGGAAAGGCCTGTGAACACCCTCTTTGATGGAGGTGGGAAGCTATAGTCATCAATAAGTCTACTGAACTGAGGTACTTGCAATGCCCATGAGACCTGGAGTCTGGTGTGGCGGGAGTCAGTTTTCCCTTTTCTGTTGAAATAGTGCCTGTGCCCATGGGAAGAAAGGAGCAGGGTGGAAAGGCTAGTTACTGCTGGGCTGGCTCTCAGTTGCAATAGGGGATGGGTGATACATGAAATTGAACTGGAATCTGGTAATTTTTTTTGCCAGCAAAAGTCTGTCCAGTCAAAGATATGGTTTTTCCAGTGGTCATGTATGGATGTGAGAGTTGGACCATAAAGAAAGCTGAGTGCTGAAGAATTGATGCTTTGGAACTGAGGTGTTGGAGAAGACTCTTGAGAGTCCCTTGGACTGCAAGGAGATCTAACCAGTCAATCCTAAAGGACATCAGTCCTGAATATTCACTGGAAGGACTGATGCTGAAGCTGAAACTCCAATACTTTGGCCACCTGATGCAAAGAACTGACTCATTTGAAAAGACCCTGATGCTGGGAAAAATTGAAGGCCAGAGGAGAAGGGGACCACAGAGGATGAGATGGTTGGGTGGCATTAATGCCTCGATGAACATGAGTTTGAGTAAGCTCCAGGAATTGGTGATGGACAGGGAAGCCTGGCATACTGCAGCCCATGAGCTTGCAGAGAGTCGGATGCGACTGAACTGAATAGCTTTGTGCATCCTGGTGATGGAGGTGTGAAGGCAAAAACAGGCATGGAGAAAATTGGGGCCCTTTCAGTGGAGGACAGGCATGAACTTCCATTGGTGTGCCCACAGGGTCTAACTTCATCCAGACAGGAGGCAGCAGAGGCCACCCTTCGCTTCCAGATGCAGGGAAGGTGTGTGTGGAGAGCTGACTCCTCCAGTGACGTGCAGCCTCACATCTAACGTTTCCCTGTGAGATGAGAGTATAAATTTGGGAACATCATTTGACTTTTCTTCCCGGGGTGTCAAGTGGGGTGCTACTAGCTGAGCCAGTGCTTTACTTACAGAAAAATTCCATTTCCTCCTGCTTCCCATGCAAACGGAAACTCCATCAAGTGTCCTTTCAATCTCTTAACTATCCCCCTTCCCTCATCCCCTCAAAGCTGGGGAGAGGAGTTTCCACCAAGACGCCCCTCCTCCCTGCAGTTGAGGACAGTTATGTAATCTGGATTGTGACACAGAGGAAAGTCCTAGCTAGCTCTCCACGCTCCTGGCTAACGGTTCAGATGGGGAGCTCGTGATGGGAGACCTCCCCACTCCACTATCCTCCAGTGCGCCCCCACCAACGCAGCAGGGCTCTGGGCGTGAGATGGGAGACCTATTCCTGTTGTCTTGAACCCTCCTGACTCCCGGGGTGGGGCACCGAGAAGCCAGGTGGTTCCCCCGCCCCCCCGCCGAGGTGGGGGCGCAGGAGCGGCGGGCACCTGTTGCGGCGCGCCGGGCGGTGGCTGAGGCTCACCTGCGCGAGGCCCGGCCCAGGGCGGGCGGCGGGCGCAAAACTGAGCCGAGGTTCCGACGCTCGGTCCGCGCCTCGGGCTTCCGCCGGGTCAGCTGACCGCCCAGTGCGGAACTAAGCGCCGGCCGAGAGCTGCCTGCCGCCACCGCGCTCCTGCTCGGCACTCGGTACCGCGCGCCCGCCCCGTAGCCATGGCCGGGCTTGTGGTCAGTGGAACTCAAGTAAGTCCGCTGGGGCCACCCCGTCCCCTCCTGGGCACGGTCGCTCTGAGGAGGGAGCTCTGGGGCGAGCGGCGTCCAGAGGTCAGACGGGTGCTCCCTGCCCCACCTCGGGGCTGCGTCCGCAGCAGCGGAGTGAAGCAGGCCTGAGGGGAGCATAGACGCGGTTTTGCGCCTGGCGCACCCCCTGGGTGGGAGGAGAGGGGGGAAGACCCTCAGGTCGCCCGGACCCCTCCAGCCCCAGCGCTCAATGACCAGAGGCCAGCCTGCGGACTTCTCCATCAGGTGGAGTGGGCACCTCTCACAACCCACGGTACTTTTCCGAGCCCACAAAAAAGTTGTAATTTCTTTCATAATCTGAAGGAAAAAAGGAACCTTGTTAAAAGAAACGTTTTAATATATTTGTCTTTACACCAATGCAGTTGTAAAATAGAAATGGTAGTTTTAGAGTTTTCTTTTTCTTCTTCCCGACAACGGAGGTAGGAGCCTCTGAAAGACACTGAGAATCACGCTGCGGCCGTGCAGGCGCTGGGCTGCAGGCTTCGCTGCAGACTTGCTCCTGTTCCTAACCCTAGATCCCTTACCAAGGACCGGTAGAAGGCTGCAGTGCTCCAGTTTTATTTCGGCACCTGACTTCTTTAACGGGCGTCCTTGGGGATGGCAACGCTCTAGTTTCCACCCGGGGTGATAGACACCCAGCTTTACTTGCTGTCAGCCTTGCAGTGACGCTTTAGTTGTTTTTAGTCATTGCTGGAGGGTTGGACTCAACTACTGGGGGGCCAGGTGCCTTTTACTTGCTGGAGAAGCCAGGTGTCCCTTATAAGCTCTGAAGGAGTCCTCCTCCTCCCCTGCTTTTCCCGGATGCCCTAGAGAAATGGTTCTGAGGTTTTGCAGCTCTCCCCTTGGATGGCTTGAGGCAGGAAGTGTCAGGCACAATTAGATTTTGAGATTACTTTGGGCTTAGGGAACGTTTCTCCATTCTTAGAGTTCAGGAGTTAGCAGGCCAGGGAGGTACTAGCCTGAGAAAGATGTTAAAATGAAGTGTCTTTTTTAGCTGGCAGGGAAAAGGGACTTTCTGGGAGTTAATAAGGCTGCAGAAGGAAGGGCTAGAGGAAAGGACCTCTTCCCAAGCCGGGTCCCTGACCCTCAGAACCTAGGTCTCTGCATTTCAGGGCCAGGAGTCTCTGGGTGTAGCTGCTTCCAGCTTCATGGAAGACTTGACATGGGCCTGCCAACCTTCCTGTGCTTCCCTTCTTATCCTCTTATCCACAGCTCAGTTTTATTTATTAGTTTTTCTCTGAGCCCCTTGAATTTAGCCCATCCCAAACAGCCCAAGGGCAGTGACCTGTGAGTGAGGCATTTTGGTCCCTTGGGGACTGTTCTATGGAGCTGCCAGGGGAAGAGCTGAGCAGGCAAGTTGGGGAAAATGCCCTTGTGTCACAGGTGCCCTGTATTCTAAACCTCCAAGGTCAGTGAATCTGAGTGGTAGCTCAGGGCTTTAGGTCTTTCTAACGTTCTGCCTCTAGCAGCCGTTATAAGATGTAGCACCTTGAATGTATATCACATGGTCCTTCTCAAACTTGGGATCCTTCTAAAGGGTGGGGGGAGGAAACCCACTTCCCATGAGCCAACACTGTTACTGTTTTTATTTCAATATTAAGTATACAATCATAAAACCAGATAAAACTTCTTCTAAGTTCATATTTAGAGAGCTATAAACCCCCCAAAAGGGATGACAAGTGTAAAAACGAAAACAATAACACCCATAAAACTAAAATAAACAATGAAATCTATGATATTTGCTGAAACTTGGTCACTGCTTTTGATGCTGCTGTGGCCTGATGGCTGTGGCCCTGAGTTTTAGGAGTTGCTCAAACCTGTAACACCACATGCTTGGGGATGTTGCTGTCCTCCCTCCATTTTTCTCTGTACAGTGGATCTGACTCCATTTGGCCTTCTGTTGGCATGAATGCATCATTTATATTCAGCATGAAGGCCTCAGTCTTCTTCACCAGCTTAGGACAATTATAGTAATGGCATTAATACAAATGCAGACACAAATGCAGACTTGGAATTGGGATACTGAAATCGTATACTGGAGAGACATGGGAATAAAAAACCCCTTCCACAGGGATACTGGTGTGATTCACTAACTACCTAGTGGCCACTTGCCAAGGACAAGGCTGTGGGCTTTAAATATGTTAACTTATTTCATTCCTGTAACATAAATAAAATGATGATAAAATGTGACTTATGGGCTTATTTAATGAGGATTGACTAGTTAAGTATCAATAACCTCAGATAAGCACATGACACCCACCCTTATGGCAGAAAGTGAAGAACTAAAGAGCCTCTTGATGAAAGTGAAGGAGGAGAGTGAAAAAGTTGGCTTAACGCTCAACATTCAGAAAACTAAGACCATGGCATCTGGTCCCATCACTTCATGGCAAATAGATGGGGAAATAGAGGAAACAGTGGCTGACTTTATTTTTGGGGGTTTCAAAATCACTACAGATGGTGATTGCAGCCATGAAATTAAAGATGCTTACTCCTTGGAAGGAAAGTTATGACCAACCTAGACAGCATATTAAGAAGCAGAGACATTACTTTGCCAACAAAGGTCCATCTAGTTAAGGCTATTGTTTTTCCAGTGGTCGTGTATGGATGTGAGAGCTGGACTATGAAGAAAGCTGAGTGCAGAAGAATTGATCCTTTTGAACTGTGGTGTTGGAAAAGACTCTTGAGAGTCCCTTGGACTGCAAGGAGATCCAGCCAGTCCACCCTAGAGGAGATCAGTCCTGGGTGTTCATTGGAAGGAGTGATGTTGAAGCTGAAACTCCAATACTTTGGCCACCTGATGCGAAGAGCTGACTCATTTGAAAAGACCCTGATGCTGGGAAAGATTGAGGGCAGGAGAAGGGGACGACAGAAGATGAGATGGTTGGGTGGCATCACCCACTCAATGGACATGGGTTTGGGTGGACTGTGGGAGTTGGTGCTGGACAGGGAGGCCTGGTGTGCTGTGGTTCATGGGGTCGCAAAGAATCGGACACAACTGAGTGACTGAACTGAACTGACTAGTTAAGAACTAGGTGGGAGGCTTTCAATAAATATGAATTGTTACATTATTCTTTACACCTTTTGGAGATGGTTAGTGTTTAACTAGTTTATAGAAGAAGAAACAGAGTCTATGAGTTTGTGACCCATCCAAGGTAATGCAACTAGTTAAGTAGCAGCACAGGGATGCTGATTCATGACCAGAGTTCTTTCTATTCATGGAGCTGCCAGTGCTGCAAATCTAAAATTAAGGATGCCTCACCTCCAAGTGGGGGCAGGCATCCTGAAATAACCTCCTTTCAATCTGACTGCTGACAACACTCCCCCCATCCCAAAAATCTGTGAGCCAGACACTATCCCAATTGCAAAGAGAAACCTTCCATGTCTTGCAGTTTGGTAATTTTCTGCAGCTTCTGCTCAGAGGAGCTGAGTGTGTGTACATGTAGAGATCCTGCCAAGATATTATTTGTTACTCTCTGTAGTGGTCTTGAACTTGATATGTTTTCATTTCTCTGATAATGGTGTCCTTTTCTATTGTAATTCCACACGGTCGAAGTCTTGGGGGTACATATTACATATGATAGGCAAACTAAAAGTATGAAACTTTGTTCTTCATTTCACTCAAAATCAAGATAATTGACTAAATGCAGTGCCTTCTCATTTTGGGTGGGATCTTGCTTCGATGGTATCTAAATCTGTTAAGCTCTACATCCCTTCTCTTGTTTGGTGAAGACACAGACTATTTTTGGTCTGGCTCTTCTAGTTTCCTGTTTTATGTTAGGTGGTCCCATGCTTCAAGAAGTCTCCTGACATCCTGAGATGTAATGTCTTCCACTCAGGAGCACTTCTTAAATAAGTCTCTCCTCTCATTATGAGTGTTGTTTGCCGTGCCTGGCAGTGACTGCTTACTGCTTTTAAGCCTTTTCCAGCCAATTTGAACCCTTTAGCATGGCTGACTTAACTCACATCTCAAAAAGCTTCCAGTTTACTATGAGGGTGGTCCAAACATAGACACGGCTTATCAAGTTGGTGTTCTTAGCAAATTTTGGAGACTTGGTCCTCATCTCTGTGAAATAGGAGCAAGCTGTGCTTTGTTTGGTTCTCCTGGGATACTGTAATGTTGTTGTTTAGTGTCTCAGCTATTTCCAACTCTTCTGCGACCCCAAGGATTGTAGCCTGCCAGCCTCCTCGGATTTCCCGGGCAAGAATACTGGAGAGGGTTGCCATTTCCTTCTCCTTGACCCAGGGATCAAACCCATGTCTCCTGCTTGGCAGGCGGATTCTTTACCGCTGAGCCACCCGGGACACTCTGTGATGTTAAGATCATGGAATAAAACAAGCTAATGGAAGTTTTGTCAGACGTGTTGTGAGTGGTTGAATGCTTCATGGTGGTAACTGTCCTTAATGTTTGTTTGCTCTGAAGTGGAATTCTACAGAAGATAAAAGGGAGCAAATATTCCTCTTTCTGCAGGCTCTAACACTCTTCTGGGACATTCGACATGGCATCATGAGGTAGTTCTAGATCTTTCAGCTAAGAAGACTCATTTTGAAGCCAAAACATGATGATAGATAGCTGGCATTTGTTGGTCAAGAATATCCACATTGTCATGTGCATATTTAAGAATTCCATGGCCTCCATATTGGACGTCCTTATTCCTGGTGCAGAATGTGGTCCAGACTCTCCTTAAGAAGATGTACTATGCAGGGCAGGCCTCTGGAGTCTTAGTTTCCTCATATAAAGTGTGAGGGATTTTGACTGAGTCCCTGCTAAATTTAATCCTTTGTAACCCATGAGGAAAGAACTCAGTTTCCACATTGAAACCTCAGCCTCTCTGCTGCATATATAATGGAGATCTTGAATGATTTTGTTATATACAGGATGGGTAAGGGATAGGTTTTCAGGTGAGCACCATGGGCTTAGGGGTCAGTGTGAACATATAATGCAGAAGCAGCTGCTGATGGTGAGCTGCTGAGTGAAGTCCCTAGATTCTCCAGTCTCTCTGGAGAATCCTTTATCTCTGGAAGCAGAACTTAATTTGTTACACAAGGAGATAGATGGCTCTTAGGTAGAGAGGGGAGAGATTACCAAATTGAACTTACAGCCCTTTAGTTTTTAGTCTGTATCTTCCTGAGTCAAAATTATTTTATTGGAATCAGCTATTTTTTTTTCTGTCTTTTCTCCCCATTTTGTATCTTCCAGTAATGAAGTTACTGAAGAATAGTGAACACAGGGTATTATATTGTCAGCAAATGGTCCCCATTGGATAGGAAAGGGTTGAGAGATGACTTGAAAAATTGAGGGTGCCAGGGTGCAGTGAGACTTGTTTTAGGTGGAGCCATATGAAAGTGCAGTTGTATAATTCTACGATGGTCAGAGTATTAGTAATTCATAACCGGATTTTAACCATTTTAATGTAATACTGAAGATGCAAGATGGCCACCATATTCTTATTCTCAATTGGGAATCACAACCCCTCCATCCCTACCTCCACCCCCTTGGACACCTCTCTCTTATTCCAGGACTTCTTGTTTGTATGTGGAAGAATGAAGGTTTGCAAGGCGAAAAGGATCAAGGCTGTAGCCTTGTAATGAGCTGGAATTTCTGCTGAGCAGTTGAGGATGGGCTCCTTTTGTGGGAAAGCATCATGTATTGTGACCCACTGCTGACTGGTCACTGGTTTGTCTTACTGGTTTTGGAATTAGTTGCCAGTCCTGCCCTCACTGCTACCTGTAAAAATAGGTTTCAAAACCTCAGTGCTTGGAGCAGTGAGAAAGCCCTCTGACCTCCCAGTCTGAAATTCTGGGATCAAATTTCAGTTCAGCCTCCTAATATTTGGGCATACACTAGGTAAATAATAATAATAAAAGTAAGTAAAAGAATGCTTAAGGGAACACCTCTGCCAGCAGAATGGGGTTGATTGCCAGGGGCTCCCTGGAGGACAGTCTTGAAAGCTCTGGCCACCCGTTGTTGCCCTGTCGCCTTCAAGTCGGCTCTGTTCAGAGTTCGGAGGACGTTTTATACATGGTGGTAATAGGATGGGATTGGCGGTCTGGGGAGGTTTTCTTGTCCAACCCTATTTGTTCCAGCACCCTGCAGGTTGAATGCTGGTAAGTGCATCTGCTGTGTCTTTTATGAGGTAATGTGCATAACAGGGTGTTTGGGGGAGGGGGCAGCCGAGGAGAGGGAGCAGGAGAGCCAGAGGGGCAGCTGTTGGGAAGGCCCCTGAGTGGGAGGCTGATTGCTGTGATTATATCAGCATGCTCTGAGGTTGGGGTTTTTTTTTGGACCTCTGAATCCAGCCAATTTCAGTCCAATTTCCCTTGTGCCGGGATTAGTCTCCATCATGCTAAGTGTACCAAGAAAGGGGAGCTGTTGGCAGAATCCCTGAAGCCAAGTCCCAAAGCTGACTTGATCAGGGAAACAGCCACAAATGGGGTCTTCCTGTGTGCGGAGCGTGTGTTTCAAGTTGCGGAAGCAATCATCGGATCAGTGACGCAGGGCCTTGAGCAGCTGGGTGATTTCCGTTGGCCACATTGTTTCTGTTCCATTTTAATTTCCAGGTGTCCTACATAGGCCAGGACTGCAGAGAGATTCCAGAGCACCTCGGCAGGGACTGTGGACACTTTGCAAAGAGGCTTGATCTGAGCTTTAACCTTCTGAGGTATGTAACCTTCATGAGACAGACCAGGCCTGGGAGACCCAGGGCCCATGGTGAAGGCCTGCAGATAAAAGCCAAACAGCCCAGGTCTCCAAAGGGACCCCAGAGGTGTGACTCTGCTTCACAAGGTCCTCTGGCTCCCCTCTTGTGCCCACAAAACAGTGAGTGTGAGTGTCCTCTGGCTCACGTGTGTCCCTCCCAGAGGACCATCAGTGTCACTTTGTTCTTTTCCTTCCTCCCTGAGGCCCATGCGTCATATTAGAAAACTCTTGGAGAGGAAGAGAGAGAACCAGCAGGTGTGTTGGGGGCCTTTAGGGATGCTTTTGTGGATGACCCCGTTGCTCAAAGATTTGCTGAATCCCAGGTAGAGTGTATGTGTTCTTCTTTTATTTTCTTTGCCTTTTTATGAATTAAAACTTTAAATATTTGTGATGATGATTTATCCCAGATGGTATTTCAAAGTAATTCCAATGCTGTTGGCATGGGGTAGGTGGGAGGGAAGCTCAAACAACTGTTCCAGACTTGGCAGAGAAGGTAAGTGCAATTGTATATATTATTCCAATGGAGAAAATGGAGTTATTTCTTCCTAAAAGGTGCTGAATTGTAACTGATTTGGGGACTCTGGGGAGGGAGCTGGGAGGTTCTTGGAAAGCAGGTATCTGTGGGATAAATGGGCGGGGATCTGGGTGGTGGCTTTTCCTAAGGAGGTGGTTCCATGCAGAGCTTTCTCCTAAGTGTCTCCTTGAGAGCCATGCTATCCTCTGATGGAACAGACTGTCTCCAGGTGGAAGGACAGATGAGGAGCTGGAGTCCCACCCCAGGGCTCCGGTACTTTACTTCCTCCACAGTGTGGAGTCTCTTCTCTCCAAGGCAGGACACTCGGGCATTACAGATTCTAGCGAAGATGAACAAAGCTTGGGGCTTTAAGGCACCAGAGGGTGGAAGGGACTTCCAGCAAAGCCAGCAGAGCTTCATGGGCTGGTGCTTAGGAGCTCACGGCTGTGCTGAGATGTGTCGTCTCCACAGGAGGGGCGTCCAGGGAATCGTGTTAGAAGGGAGTGGGTGCAGTGTGCTGCCTGACTCTCAAGGGGTTTGTGGGCTTCTGAGAAGATGTGGAAACGGAAAAGTCACAGAGTAATACAGAGTGGTGAGAGGGTGCCAAGTAAACTCGGACTCTGAACAAATGAAGGATGGTTTTTGGTCCCTGCCCAAGAAGGGGACAGAAGACAGTCTCAATTGATGGTGCCTGAGACACGTGTGTGCCTTCACAGCTCCCCAGCGTAGGCTTGGCAGAGGGTTCTTCTCATGTGGCGGGCCTCTGGGCGTTGGGGCTTTTGACTCAGGCGGTGGCTGCCTTGCTGCTGGGAGCCCGGATGTGGGTTTGAGGAGGCTGGGCCCTGGGAGGGGGTATGAGCAGTCACAGGTCATGGGACTGGGCTGTCAGGTCTGAGGAAACAGAGCCGTCTTTGTCACATTATGGGACCCTGCCTCTCTGATGAGAAGGGGTTCTTGGCTCTGAGAGGCTGGATCTTTAAGGATTTATCATAGGAAATGATGGGGCAGGAAAATTTTGTGAAAAGGAGGTTGGTTTAAAAAAAGAGAGGAATTAAGACTTTTGTTAACTTTTTGTTGAGAGAAGAGTTTTTGTAAGTGTCAAGTTTGAGGAATGATCCCTCAAAAGATCTGGTCCTGAACCTGTTCTTACTTGTGCTGTGGTCAATGTGTGAGTTGTAGCTGGGTTGGGGCAGGGATGAGCCATGGAGGGGTGAGGTCTCATGGAAGGGTTTATATTAGGACTTGGGTAAGCTGGAAGGAGTTACAGACCAGAATGCAGGAGAGTAACTCTGACTTGATGTGGTTATGGTGAGATTGACTCATCTTTGATGGTCTTATTTACCTAACTTGGGGGCAAGGGGAGGTGGCAGTGTTTCTCTTGGGTGTCAGAGGAAGATATAAGCTTATTGCAGGTCCTTTGCCTTCAGTTGGATAAAAATTCAAAGATGGTTTAGACGCTTACCTAATTCCTCTTTGGGGAGAGAAAGGGAGAAGGGAAGAGAAAGATCATGAACTTACCTACCACATAAGTGGGAATGTGATTCCTACCAGGCTGAAGGGATCATTATATCCAGAGGAAGTACTGCGGATCCCCGTCCCACCTTTTGTAAAAGGTTTCTTCCCAGTCCTGTCTTGTCATTTCCACGGGATTTGGCGGGGAGCATATCACCCTACATTTGCTCTGCACCTGGATTTACCATAGCTTGTGGTTTTAACTCTCTGCTCTATCTTCTCTTCTCCCTCTTGGCAGCCTGTCTGGTCCTACTCTCGACACCCCCTTCATCTCCCTTGAAGCTCAGTACTACATTACCGTTTATTACGCCAGTTCAAAATGTACCAGGAGAGGTAGGGTGGTAGTTTTGCGTGCAGCAGGAGATGCTGGGATAGCGTTGTTCCTGAAGTCTTCTGGGTGCTCCCTTGCCCTGGAGAGTTTCTCCCTGGCTGTTCCTCTCATCAGGGTCAGGTCTCCTGCATGTGATCAGGTGCCCCTCTTTCCCAGCCACCTTCTCTGCTTTCCACGTCCTTTATCTTCTTTTCAGGGCTATCCTCAGAAACACAGAATTCGCCTCACTTTGTTCTGTTTGGAAGAGTCACCCCCGACCCCCGCCCCGGCTCCTGCTCACGGGACATCTCTGCAGGCCCCCTTGTCTCGTCCATAGAGTCTTCTCAGGGTGCTGCCTTAAGTGGAGCCATAGCTGCTAATACAGATTTTGCTACTCCCATAAATCACAGAATCAGCTGCAGCCTGTTTGTGCTTTAGACTGCAGCTTGTTTTTAGGCAAGGAGTTCTGCTTATTCATTTAAAAATATTTAATAGTACACATGACACAATCTTTAGAAGGAACAAACCTGTAACCAAGGAAAAGAAACTCTCCCTTGCATTTATGTCCTTTGCCTCCTGGGTCCCACCTGCACTGGTAACTACTGGTAGTTGATCTTTGTCATCCTCCAGAGTTAGTCCATGTATACACTAACATGAGAATTTCTCATGGGGCCAGATTTGTATTACTTCTTGCCAAGATGTTAGTTAAAATAGAGGCACTAGGCTTCAGTTACCACTCACGATCAGGTCATCCTTCTCTGTTGTCTTGCTCTTAATTCAAAGCCATTCACCATCATTGTTAATTTCATTCATGAAAGTGATGTTTCTGCTGATTTGCTCTATGGCTACCCATTCATGCTGGAGGGGAGGGTGGTTATGGATTTATAAGCTCTGAAACATTATTTTTTTCTTCCCATTACACCTCAGGGTCTTCTCCCCTGCATTAGCTATGAATCCATCCCTCCCTTGATTGCGTTGTACAGTAGTAGACTGGTTACTTCTTTATGCAGAAAGTCTCAGAAATTGAGGCTGTCTTGCTTCTGTGACTCTGTCCTGGGAGGATGAAAGTCCCTGGACCCAGTATGTTCCCTGACAGGTTGGAAAGAGAAGCAAGACAAAGGTCCAAATAAAATTCCTGGCTCCCTTAAAAGACTCAGACATACCTACTCTCTCAACTCGGATCTCATTCTTCCTGTTATGACTGGATGAGACCCAGGTGAGCCACAAAGACAATGAACTGGGACCAGCTCTCTGGACATGGTTCCCAGGGGTAGGCAGGGTCCTGCCATCTCCCCTATAATGGCCACAGAGGGTTTAGGAAGCTTATTAGGTAACAGCCCAGAGGAGTGAAGTTGTGTCCCTTGCACTTGGATGCATTAATGATCACGTATCCATCCAGTGTTTATATCTACATGAGAGTGTACTTTAGATTTTATTTTTTGAAGACAATCTGCTAAATAATAAAACCATATTTCCCAGTGGAAATATTGGGAAAACCAGAACGGTATGACTGAAACCCTCTTTCTCTCAAATTTTCACTGATAATCTTACCACCCAGGAATCTCCATTGTTAACATTTTATTGTCTTGGGTGTTTCATGATGCCAAATATCTTTTAAATGATGCTGTTGCTTACATTGTGTTGGAAGCATATTCCTATCTCAATAAACACTGCATTATAGGTTTTAATAGTTTCTTATTTCTTCACTTCAGTTCAGTTGCTCCGTCGTGTCCAACTCTTTGTGACCCCATGGACTGCAGCTCACCAGGCTTCCCTGTCCATCACCAACTCCCAGAGCTTGCTCAGACTCATGTCCATTGAGTTGGTGATGCCATCCAACCATCTCATCCTCTGTCATCCCCTTCTCCTCCCGCCTTAAATCTTTCCCAGCATCAGGGTCTTTTCCAATCAATCAGTTCTTCACATCAGGTGGCCCAAATATTGGAGCTTCAATTTCAGCATCAGTCCTCCCAATTCTTATTTCTTATTGTTGGACATTTAAATTGTTTCCAGATTTTTACTGTTATAAATCTCTCTTATAAATTTCCTTGTGATACTCACTTATGAATATCTCTGGTTAGTTGTTTGGGGCAAATTCTTGGGGACAGAATAGTCAGAAGGCCTTAATACAGATGGCAAGTTGCCTCCGAGAGGTGATACCAATTTATGCTACCAGGAATATTTGAATATCCATTGTCCCAAACTCTTCCTTTAACTATTCTTGTTTGTTTTTTCCTTTTGAGGTTTTCATATTTTGCTTCTCTGATCAATACAGAGAATCCTCTGCCATCACCAGTGCTGGTTGATAAGGAAAAGAGAACTTGGTAATAGTTTGTCGCAGCTTTCATTTTGCTTCTCCCTGAACTGGGAAAGGACAGTATTCTCTCTGGTGGCCTGTTTCTCTCCCCCATGGGCCCTGAGTAGGTTGCCCACTGAGCTTGTGAACACAGTGGGCAGAGCAGAATTCCCATGGCACACAGTGATAAACACACCTGTGTCAATATGACAATGAAATTGAGAGGGCTTAATTGATCTAGGGAAACAGTAAACTTACATTTTAAAAATTATTGGCAGTTGCATATTACTTAGCATCACTCTGGTAAATGTACTGGATGGGAGAATTGCT